TTGCTGACTGTCCACAGTTTCTGAATCTGCCTGAGTGCGTGTTTGACTCAGGAAACCTGTCAAAGCAGGAAACAGAACAAGGGATGCGGTAAGAACCATGTCTGCTTCTAAAGGAAGTTCATTCCTTCTGCAAAAATATTTGTAATGTCTGTTATCTCCTAGGCACTGTTCCATGACTCTGACAAGTCCCAAACTCACTAGTTGGTAGCTAAGAGGCCTTGGAGAGAGAAGACTCTGATAGTAAACACAAAACCTAACATCTCTTGCCTGAAATGGACTTTCAAGATGCACGGTGGGTATAAGCAGACTGGGAAGCTTGGCTCCCTGGCTCAGTGTAGACAGCTGAGGCCAATGCAGATGGAACAAGGCTGGAGTCTGGCCCGAGGCACCTGCAGGCCCAGTTTCCTGACTCTCCTGCTTCTCACAGACTGAAACATTGCTAAGATGCTGTGAATGCTGGCTGCAGGACCGGACGGCCTTGGTCTTCCTGGTGTTCAGTCCCCGCTATTTTCTGACACAAGGTGTTCAACTGAAGTCTCCTCCTGGGTTTGGACAAGCAGAAGTCTCAGCACAGACACAGTTCAGGCATGATGGGGCATACACTTCGGTATATGTAAGACCCCTGGTGATGGGTGCCTTCTTTTCGGGTTCACACTGCTTGTGTTGCTTGAACGCAGAGCTGACTTCGTTTTAGCCTCACCTTTTGTGTATCTGTCTCAGAATCAAGGGTTAAGGGATCTCCCCTACAATCCTAAAGAAAATTCTACACATGGCATGGGGAAGGAAGTATCTGGTAGTAACCCCTCTGAGTGGGGCTCTGGAAGTGGGCGTTACCAGTCCAGGCCTCTCAACAGAAATTGCCCATTTTAGACACTTGCTGTTCTACCCTGACTGCAGTTCTTGGGGCTTCGCTTATCTGCCTTGGGGAAGGTCTCACCAGCTTTAAGAATAAAGTCCCAGGATAGAAAGCCCATTGGGAAGAATTGCCATCTCTACACATCAAGAATGAAGAAGTGCACCGTGAGTGATCCATGTCAAGACCATGCAAAAATCACACTTTGACCAGTCTGCTTTTGATATACCTGGTCTGTTAAATAATGAACAACTTAGGCAAACAAGCAGGTCTTTGGGAGGAACAGGAAAGCGGCAGTCTCAGAAAGCTGCATCCAATTTCAGAGCCCTCAGATGAGGCAGCAGCAGCTACCAAAGGCAGAAGCAGCAGGCTGGGGGGGGCCTTTCCTGTGCAGGAAAAGAGAATTTATGAGGAATGCGTGTTAAAAATAACTCTTTACTCCTACATTAGTCGGGCAAAAGTTAGAAAGCTGGATCATGCCGGGGCTGGATGAGGCTACGTCTGCAGGCACTTTCACGTGTTGTTGGTGGGAGGCAGCCTTGCTCAGCTGTTCTGGCGAGTAAGCAGCACTGTTTGTTATTTGCGGTGAGGGGAGCTGGGGAGAGTCTGGGAGAAGGGGCAGGCAAAATGTGGTGGATGCGCTTTGGTATCACGAGGCAGTGAGAAGCCACAGATTGATGCGCCATGGATGGAGCTTCAAAACCACGGAGTAGAAAAAGTAAGATACAAAATGAAAAGAACAGCACATTTTACAAGAAAGCATGCAAACAAAATGATACACATTAAACACATCAGCTTGTTTGGCTAACGTATGAGAGGAGGACAGGGAAATAAACTAGAACGAGAGAGGAGCAAAAAGAAATGTGAAAGAATAGCTTGGGGGGTGGGTACCGGTGCTAGGGCATTTCCCAATGGAAAGACTTCCGGGCGTGTGCCCCCGCCCACCCCCTGAGGTGCTGGTAAATGTTTAACAAATGACTCTCCAAGGGAAACATCAATTCTGTTTCGGGGTGACTGCTGATCTCCAAGGTGAGTACACTGCCGTGGCTGCTTGCCGGCTTGCTGTGGGACCTGCCGAGGTTTTGGAGATGCATACTGCGCTCACTGCGTCTGCTCCGTGCAGTGTGCAATTTCCTTCACTACTCCCTTGAGAGTGTCAGTAAGCTGAGAACCCAACAGTAGCTTTTTGAAAGCCCAAATACATAGGAGCAAGATAAGGCAGAACTTCAGTAGAGTGTGAATCTACTTGCCTGTACCCTGCATCCTTTAGATGGTTCACGGAACATCACCACCACCCAACTGACATCTGCTCCCTTTTTAGCTTCTTAGAAAATGCTAGTTATGTTCCCATCTCCTCAATTATCATTGACCAAATAAACTGTGACTTAAGGAAGGAGTATCTCCCAAATGTCTACTTTTCTCTCCAAAATGCTAAAAAGATAATGAAACGATTGCCTGGCCATCTATGTAATTTTCCGGGAAAGACCGTGAATGCTGTCTGGCAGAGAACTGCAATTAGCATCATATTTCCTAGAGGAGTGCCATTTCTTTGAAAGAATTAACCATCACTACTGGTATAAGCGCTAGATCAGCCTCCACCAAAATAGTCATAACTTAAAAAAAAAAATTCTTCCTTGTCATCCCATGAGAGCAGGTGTCTTGAGCTCATCTCTCCCGACAGTTGGGGTCAGACAACTCTGTTGTGAGGGTGTCCTACACTGTGGGGGTTTAGAGGCATCACTGGTCTCTATCCACTCGATGCCCTTATCGCCCCCTCCCCAACGTCTCTAGACAGTGCCAAATGTCCCCGGGGGGGGGGGGGATACCCTGGTCGAGAACCATTGCAGCGGAAACATATACATCTTTAATCCTTTCATCATAGTCTTTTCAAATTTTCTTTAATTTTCACTGAGGAGGCCTCACCAGGGTAGCACTATAAAGCAACCGTCATTTGGGGTCAAGTATGGAGTGAACTTGCAAGAGTTCTACAAATCTTTACGAACTGCTTTTGTTTCTGCGATTTCATAGATATGTTTGAAGTCCCTTGTACTGCAGACAGCGGTGAGAGATCAGTTTTTGCCACGTGTTGTCACCAAACCAACATTCTCCCATCAGGGTTTTTTTTTTTTTCTTTTCTTAGTTTGATTTTTTAAAACAGAGACCGTCTGGAGTGAACCAAACACTGCAAGCAGCTGGGTGAGATGGTAATTACCCACAGGGCTTCTAAAAGCCTCACTAGTGAGTGGCTCCTCCCACTGTGTAGCTTGCAGCAACTCCTCTTACCTCATATGACGCATCTTGACTTTCTCCCTCATTTGAACACAGGACAAGGTAAGGCAGTTAGTATCCTGATCCTTATTTGACCAATGAGGAAGCTGGAGCTCTGAGAGACTAAGGTCAACCTATGACCAAGGTAACCCAACTTGCTGATGATAAGGCTGAGCCTAAAAACCAGGACCCCTGACACATCACAAGATCATGCCGCCTTGCACCATACTAATTAGGCTTTCTATATCTAGAACTTTCCCAAGTCTGGAGAAGAGAGGGAGAGGGAGACAGGGACAGAGAGAGGTAAAGGAAATGGGAAAAACTATGGACATTTATCTCTTAAATTACAATTCATAACTAACTCACGTTGAAATCGAACATGTTTTTACTAGTAAGTCAGCAAAGTCCAGTTAACAAGTGGTAAGATAGAAAAATTCCTTATTACACTGGGCAGTATGTAATATTTCTTCCTGAGAGCTTACTTGAGCTTTCAAATAAAAATCGATTTTCCTGAGTCTTCAGAAATCCAAGGTGGTAAAGACTTCCAGACTCATGGGCCCAAACATCCCACTGTTTTGGGCCACAGAGGTTTCTCTTCACTGTCAGTTAACCTGAATTCCTAAGAATTCCTGGAGGGCAAATAAAAAGACCCAGACACAGCCAGTCTCTTTTACATGACACAGTCTAATAAAGTCTCTAAGTGAGCTGACCTTCTGGTGCCAGGAAACTGTTCCTGGAAGACTACAAACTAGTATTTCTGCAGATGCCCTTTTCTTAGATCATGTGTATTACGTATGTGTCCCTTGTAGTTTTTAAACATTTTAAAAATGTTTAGAGAGGGGGGCAGAGGGAGAGAATCTTAAGCAGGCTCCACTCATGACCCTGGGATCACAACCTGAGCTGAAATCAAGAGTCGGACACTCAACCAACTGAGCCACCAAGGTGCCCCTGTGTCCCTTCTAATACTGTATTTTTTTTTAAGGCTTGGCCCCTTTTATGACACCTTCTTGAGAACTAGATTCTCTGATTCTTTGTTCTCTTCATTGGTAAAATCTGTTTCAGCTGAAACCTACTACTAAAAACAACTTTCATCTGAAAATCAAACCCTCAGCTTACTGGGGCAGGGGGGAAGGGTCATCACATATTCTTCTGTCAAAGGTCAGATACTAAATACCTTAAGTTTCGTGGGCTACATAAGGTCTCTGTGATATATTCCTTCCTTCTTTTCTTTTAACAGTGCTTTACAAATGTAAAAACCATTCCTGAGTGCCATAAAAAGGCCTCTGGCTGCCCCTGACCTAAACAATTAATTTTAGATGGGCCCTAACTAGCCCCTTTAGAATGAGTTAGAACAACTTATCCATACTTCTGAAGGCAAACCTCTGAAGGGAATTAAAGCTCACACGTTGGTAATTCAGAAGGGCTGGTGGTGAAAGGGGGTCCCCCAGTGTTCTCCCTCGAGGATATGAAGGGTGACCTTGACATTACTTGATTTTGCATTAAGAAGCCTGCACCCAGGGAAGCTGGCCAAAAGGGATAAAATGGAAATGAAAGCACAAACAACAAGGCCCGTTTATTTTACATGGACTCCCGACGTATTTAATGTGGGAACAGCAGGCTAGTCATTAAAACCCTCTCTGGGCTTAATTCATTCAGCCCACATCTCATTCATGCTCATGAGGCTAAAACGAGGTCAAAATGAGCACAAATCAAGCCCTGGAGAGGAATCCAGGCCATGGGAAGTGTCTCCAAGCTATGGATCCCAATTTCCACAAAACAGCCACTAAGGGCAAGAGAAGTTTAATAAAAATGCCCTCTTTTTAAGCTGGCCCTTTCCCCCATCACTCGAAAGTAGCTTTATTGATAGAAAGCAATTCATTTATTTAGACATACTCTTTTTAGGCAACTTTAACTTTTTCCACCGGCGTAACACCACTCTGTACTTCTCGCTTTCAGTTTTCTCTCCCAACACTTTTTTCAGGAGAACCCTCATCACTGTCTCTGTTTCTGCTTCTTTATCCTCTCCAATTAGAAGATCCAATGCATCTCCCACTTTCACCTGAAAATTAAAAGAAAACTCAGCCTTTACTGCATTTTGGGAAACACAGGCCAATGCAAATGTCCTTTTATTTTTTGTTTTTTTAGTAGTCTCTACACCCAATGTGTGGCTTGAACTCATGACCCTGGGATCAAGAGTCGAAAGCTCCCCCAACCAGGCACCCCACAAACATGCTTGGTTTGAGTTTCACCAGGTGACCACTCCCTAGAGGGGGAGGTGAGGAAAGGCAGTTATTCCTCTGAGGCTTTCCCTCATCCCTAGTGCCTCCGGGTGAAAGGGCCTCACTCACAGGATGCCCCAGACACACGTGCCCGATCCTGTCCACGTCCTTCCTTCAGACTTGGATGGCTTCCTATGGGCAGCCCGGGTGGTGTGGCTCAAATACCTCCACTAGACGACTGAAGGAAACACATGGAGGCATTTGTTTTGGTAACAATGACAAGAAACAAAGAGAGTGGGGCACAATCTTAGAGAATATGTGCATAGTAATTACTACCAGCACTGAGACAACCATTTCCAGTGTAACTTTTCACTGATTTCAACCCAGATGAACTACATAATTGGGGACGGGGCAGTTTGTTGAAAATTAGTCACTGTGGAACAGTCAGCGTATCCCTTAGAGAAATGGTAGAGAAAAGGCCTAACACTGATTAGCCCTAGTGATGCCACATCATCAAGAAGATAGGACTCAATTCACCAAGACAGAATGCCACAGAAAAGAGGGTAGGGTTGGATGCAGGCTCAGTAGGTTAAAAAGGCTGAGGTCAAACCCATTCTTGCCCAGATGGGAGCCTTGGGTTGAGTACTTCAGGGCCACGTCCTAGGGCAGTCCTATCAGTGTTGCTGGGGACAGCCTATGGTGGATACCTGGTCTTGGCAGCCCAGGATTCCAGGGGATCTGCCCAGTGACTCAGGAAGGAGCTAAAGTGACCCAGGTGCCAGATGCTGCTTCTACTGTAACATAAGCCAGGGATGACTGGGGCCGTCTCCGACCTCTCACCACTGCTTCCAAGGAGGCAGGAAGCAACCCCATGTGTGGGCCATGGACTCTAAGTGGGTACGCACGGCCATTTATTTATTTAGAGCCAGGTGAGCTGGAGAACACATGGCTGTTTAAAAGCTGACTGGAGGTTTTCTATTTAAGAAGTATGGTGCCACTTTTACTTTATTTTCAGTTAATGCTCTCTGAGGTAGCAGTCATAACATCAGGCTGTCAAACATGTGTACCTCACCAGGGCAAGCTCATGTTTGTTCTCCCACCCATTCAAGGGCCCAATATTCAGTCCAAAACATGGGACCACACACCTGTTAGCCACAATGCCATACTGGTCAACCCAGACAGCTTAGAGCAGCTAGATGGGAACTCACACAGGAGCTGATGATAAACCTTAACATTCTCCTCTCTGGGCTGGGAAGCAGAAGGGCTCACACCACAAGTAGGCATGAAGACTGCTTCTCCCCTGGGCTTGAAGGTTGGGCTGACACAGGCATCATCTAGGGGATCTGTCCTCCTGTAGTTCTTATGCATTTAATTGAAAATAAATGACCACTGGGGCGCCTGGGTGGCTCAGTCGGTTAAGCATCAGATTCTTGATCTCTGCTCAGGTCATGATCTCACAGTTTGTGGGTTCGAGCCCTGCATTGGACTCTGTGCTGACGGCATGGAGCCTGCTTGGGATTCTGTCTTTCTCTGTGCCTCTTATCTGCTTGTGCTCTATCTCAAAATAAGTCTAAAAAACTTAAAAATAAATAAATAAATAACCACTGGGGCGCTTGGGTGGCTCAGTCGGTTGGGCGTCCGACTCTTGATTTCCACTCAGGTCAGGATCTTGCAGTTTGTGGGATCAAACCCCACGTCGGGCTCTGTGCTGGCAGTGTGGAGCCTGCTCTGGATTCTGTCTCTCCCTCTCTCTGCCCCTCCCCTGCTCGCATGTGCTCTCAAAATAAAAAAAAAAAAATTAAAATTAAAAAAAAAAAAAAAAAAAAAGACCGTTTGGCCCAACTGTATGGACATTTAAAATCAACGTCCAGAAATACAAGGCTTGAGAACTCTGCTTTACATTTTTCAGCATAACTTTATTTCATTAAAATTCACTTTTTAGTAACATATGCACGTGACACAAAATATACAAAGTATAAAAGGATACACAGAGAAAAAGACAACCCTTATTGTGTACCCCTTCACAGATATACTGTGTGTAATGTCTGCCCCTTAAAAGAGCAGGCTCGTGTGTGGCTGAGCAGCAGATCCCTTTGGTAGCTTACTTCTAAGGCAGAGAAAAGGGAAGGAATATTTCTCAGGGAGAGAATGAGTTTAGGAAGGCTTCAATCGCCATAGTCCGGCTCTAAACACCCTTTGTTTAAGTCAACAGGGACCCAGCAGCACCTCCAGTACTCTGGGCCCCACCTGGTTTGCAGCTAACAGAAAAGGTTTGCTCAGCTACAGGCAGCCAGCTTTATAGATGCAGCATCAGAAAACTGCCTGACCCTTCAAGGCCAGCAGCCAGGCACAGCTCCATGCAGCAGGTCATGGTAAGGGAGGTGTCCTTTATTCTCTGCAACGGCCAGTCCTTTCTAATGTGGGAGACAGCACAGCAGACATAAAGCAAAAGCGGATGGGATTACGGGCTGTTCCAAATATCTACATTTCAAATCTCCCCTTAGCTGCAGTTACTATGGCTACAGGCCTCCTAGTAACAAGGCAGCCCGAGTGCTAACACTGGCCCCTTCCCTCTGCTGACCCTCAGGAGAAATCTGGAAGGCAGCCGAGAAAACAGAACACCCAAGGCAGAATGAAGAAGCAGCAATTAGACTGTAGTTAATACTATGTCAAAGCAGGGGGAGAAAAATAGACTTGGGGCATTTGTAAATGAGGCCCTGGTACAGAGGCGCGGTGCACCAAGAACAGGTCTTAGGAACGCTGTGGCTGAGGGGAGGGGGCAGGGCTACAACCAGGAAAAAGCAATTATGGGACAAGAGCGTAATCTCCAGATGCATGTCTGGAGTGCCTGATTTCCTGAAGCTCACAGAGCAATGACTGACACGCCGAACCTGCCGGGTCAGGTGCCATCAGAGATCTCGGACCTTGTGACCTGGCAGCTGAGACAGGCACTGTCCATTCAGCCGTAAGAACCTGTATGATCCCAGAGAACAAAGTCTCTGAAGAAAGCCTTGGTGCTCACCCAGGTCCATGGCCAACAGCTCACACCCTCCCTTGTCGCAGGGCAAAAGGATGTAGCTCAGGTCCCCCAGCCCCAGGGGGTTCTGAAACATGAAATAAGCCTAATAGTAACCTACAAAAGTGTGTGTACCTTCCCTGGAACATTAGTTCCCTAGATACTAAGAGTTAGATTATGTCTGCCAATGCCTCATATGTCGGTGTCTTCCAAACTTTTTAAGGGTCTCTGTCATACACTTTTTGATTGTGTTTTGTTGACTTTAACTATCGTATTATTTTCCCAATTAGGAAAGTGATATATACTTGTAAAAAATTCAGAAAATAAAAAGAATGAAGAAAATATAACCCATAATGCCCCAGAGATAAATACTAGTAATATTGATATTTTAATTCCAGATATATGTAAAATGTAACTTTTTACAAAAATATGTAACTTTCAGAGTATATTGTAACAACACTGGATACTGGAAATACATTTTCTTGTAACTGACTTCTTTCACGTAACAATAGTATTGAAGTTCCATAGTATAATGGTTAGCACTCTAGACTCTGAACAACAGTATTGATGTGGGGCTGTCAGAAAACTGGGAGTCTCGGTTTTGACAGCCGCTGTGCACACAGAGCAGGGCACCCAGCAAGTGCTGGCGGGTAACTGCCAAAATGAACAAAATTCCACATCTGCAGAAGTCCCGTAGTCCAGAGTTACCTCTACATGGACCAACTGTTCTTTTTAGCCTATAACGATTTTATGGGACTAATGACTTGGAAGTTTAACTAATGGATTCTTGCCAATTCTGATAGTGGTGTGTCTTAAAATTTTAAAGACGAAGGGAAAGATTCATCTTGAAGTCACTTAGGCTGCAAAAGAACAGGTAGTTTGTGTGAAGTTGGCTGGTGAGTCTCACTAGCCATGCCCACAGGGAATCGCAGAGAGGGTAACACAGATACACACAGGAGACGCTGAAACCCCAAGTAAGGAGCCTGAGGGGAAACTAGGGAGGCACTGAGTACTGGCAGAGCAACAGACAAAAATATCTGGCTGTCATAGTATCTCACCGTTCTGCTTTTCTTCCATAATTTTTCCCCATTCAGCCTGAGTTCGCCTTTGTAGAACGCATCTTCCACTTTGCTTTAAAAAAACACACACACACAAAAACAACAAAAAAAAAACCAAATGCTTTGAAACAGAAATATATTCAAAACAATTATAGAGGTCTGAGAAAAACATCTGCCATTAATGTTTTATTCTGATAGTCACCAGCCTCTTCACAAAAGTCTCCGTTCTGGGTGCTGGGAAAATGAAAGTCAACTGCTCCCGTATGTACACACGACAGCGAGATCAAGGGGTTCTCCTGAATAGACGCCCACGTATGCTCGCACATCAGCACAGATGTGCTCGCATCATCGGCAGGTAATCAGAACTCTGACGGGGCTCTGCGAGGGCCGGGCACTACCTCACCGGACTTCTGCAAAGCAGGAGCACCTGTGATTCACGACCACCAAAGGGCTCTGCGAGACAAACCAGGCACGACACGAATGTTGGGGCTATTAAAAAATCCTCTGCTAGTCCTCGCTGAGGTTGGGGAAATTCCAATCCAGCAGCTGCGGTCTGTCTTAATCACCAGGGCAACCGGACCAGGAGCCGGTGCCGACAAAAATCAGTGCCATTTTCTCTTGCTGCTCTGACTCCAGGGGAGTTATATCTGGGTGGGTTTCTGCTTCATGATAACAGCACCAGCTACTACTCTGGGGAAGAGAGAGGATCCCTTACAAGTTTGCCAGATTTTAGAGAATATTCAGTAAATCCCGACAAGGGTCCCTATGGGATCGGTCACCCGTGTAAGTCCTTAAACTTCATGGATTAAAAAATTAAACCATGCCATTAAATTAGGTCATACAGGTATAAATTACACATGGAGACCTTTCTGAATATATTATCCATACCGTGATTCTTACCTTGTATGCAGTATGCACACAATGAGTGCTAAAGGAATGAATGAACAATGAGGGTCACTATTCTTATAGAATTAGTCTAGCAGAGAGAACAAGAATACTAGAGAAATCGTGAAAGTTACACTTAATATCTCTGGGCACTATATGTGAACACACACAGTACTTTCTTCATAATAGCTAACATATATTGAGTCCCTACCATGTGTTAGGCACTGTTAACATGCTTTAGATGGAGGAGAGAGATACTCATTTAATCCTAGCAACCAACTTCTAAGGTGTTATTTTACATTATACAGATGAGAAAACTGACACTTAGAGAACTTAAGTAACTTGCCCAAGGTCACACAGCAAACCAGGATTGAAACCCCAGTAGTCTAGCTGCGGAGCCTGCATTCTTAACCACCACCTTCTCCTGCTTCTGTTGCTTCTAAAAGGGACCTTCTCACACTGTGGCATTTGTGAAACCCATGTACGGCTTCTTCTTACTATACACACCTAACATGGTCATTACTTCCCTCCTTAAGAAGTAATCAGTGGTTCACCTTAGAGTCAACTGTGTCTTAGTTCAGGGTGAGGTGGCACCTGGGATGTGCAGGCAGTCACTTGACTCCTCTGGAAATCAGTTTTCTCACCTGTAGAATGAAGTAACCGAACAGGTTCCTGGAAGGTCCTTTCCTAACTGTGGTTCCTCCTCACCATGATAAGGGCTGAGTGGCTGGAAACGGTGCATTAACATAACAAAAAGACAAAGGATTTTGTAATAAAACGCGAGTCGTACTTACTTTCTTCCAACATCTAGGCCCGTCTTTAGGATAACATCGTACCGAAAAGACTGCACTACTTTCTCCAGGTCTTTATAGTCTCTGACCACACGAGGGTCGTCCTCCAGCTCCTCCTCCCGCTCACTCATCTCGCCGTGGCTCTCCTCATCAGAGTCCTCTTCAGCTGCGGCTTTCTGCAGAGTCTTTTCAGTGGATTTTTTAGAGCCGATATTACTTTTGAGTCTTATGGAAAATGGGAAAATATATTCTGGGGATATGAAAAGCCTGGGGAGTCTCCGTGAGAAAACGTTATGGAAAAATGTTTTACAATTTGATGTGTTTAACTTGGTACTAGAAAAATATAAGTATCGATTCCAGGAAGCACAGAGTTTGTACGAAGGTGTCCCTTGTAGTGCTCCCCAGAGTCCAATCCAGGCATCTGGCTTTCTCAAAACGCTGGCAGGCAATCTGACACTAGTCATAGCCATGGCGCATAGAACCTGAAACAGACGACAATTCAGTTTTATTTCACGAGTGCAGCGTCCTGGCATTCTTACAACACAAACCATACATACCATGAACACTTAATACCCAGCACTATACTTAGGCTCCCCTACAAAAGACCATATTGGTCTGCACGTACTGAGGGCCACGCACTGCACCGTGGTGAGTCTTCTAGCTGTGCTTACCTCACAGGGTGCTCGTGAGGGTGGAACTAGATACTGTGTGTGAAAACACTGCTTCTCTTCTCCATCCCCCAAATTAACTTGGATACTTATTGCTACTGAAAAATATTAACAATAGTTCTTAATGATATTAAAAAAAGAAAAGATCTCATGGTGCCTGGGTGGCTCAGTCAGTTAAGCTTCCGACTTTGGCTCAGGAAGTTCATGAGCTCGAGTCCCACATCAGGCTCTGAGCTGACAGCACAGAGCCTGGAGCCTATTTCGAGTTCTGTGTCTCCCTCTCTCTCTGTCCCTCCCCTGCTCACACTCTGTCTCTCTCTCTAAAATAAAAATAAAACATTAAAAAACTTGTATCCACCAAGTTAATATTAAGAAAAAGGAAAGGTCTCACGGAGAGAAAAAGTATTTATTGGCATACGTTACATCTCTACAATAATGACTTTGCTAAGGAAAGACACCAGGTCATGACTTCACAAAACCCAGAGTGAATCTCAGCTTTGTTTCAACCTCCAACCCTACCAGATCAGAGGTAGGAATGAGCAAATTGGACAGGTCTGCATTTTACCTCCTTTTACATCTTCCTCCTACCGTTTAACGGAGGCATTACCTAGCAGAGAAGGAAGGGGCCTAGAGACCCACAAAGTAGGTAATTGTTTCCTGAGGCACCGAGGTGCTGACATGCCAGAGAGTAGTCAATTCCTGTATTACCCCAAAGACAGCAGAAACCATCTCATTATGATGGTAACAAACCTTCCCAAGTACATCAAGATGGTTTTAGAGAACATGACTTAGTAATTTGAGAAGCGTTGCCATATGGTCAATATTCCCATACCTTAAGTCTGAGAATGACTTTCCATGGTGCCAACGCTATACTTTCAGACAGATTTCTTTGATGATGGTTTGAAGGATTTTTCCTTCCTACTTTCCATTCATCACAAAACTGACAACAGCAATTACCTGTAAACCCACTCAAAACCACATAGCTAGCTACTTCCAAGTTGTATTTGTTAACATTTTGGGCCTTATTTTTGTTGGCATGAATGAGGCAGACAACACAAGCTCAAGTCTGTATCTCACTGTTCTTGGGACCCCAATCTGAGTCTTAACTGAGAAGTAAAGCAGGCATAAATTAAGGGTTGTTTTTCAACACAACTAGAATTTGAAATAATTTTTTTTAAGCTTTTTTTTTTTTTTTT